ATATATATAATTGTGTGCTTGAAATCCTAAAAACATTTTACCCCTCCTGACCTCACGGATAGATCTCATTGTCATACCATATTTTTTAGCATGGTGCAACTATTTGGATGACCAAGAGAAAGAGCTGTCCGTGAAAATGGCAATCTGTTCAGTTCCTGACAGCACAGTGGTCACACTGATAAAAGCGGACAAATATCGTTTTTGTCACTAATGCTCTCAAACTCCCTCCGAGGTACCATTTGGAAAATCAGCACTCAGTGCTATGCAACAAGTAACCTGCTGTTTTTTTCTTCCTTCGTGCCCTTAATGCAGGATAAAAATGAAGTCTACACGTTTACAGTATTTTTTTTGTTTCTTGTATTTTTTTTTCTTTGTGTTACAATGTGTCCTTTGTGCTCTGAGGCAAATTGAGAAGTTGGCACTTTGTAGGCTTGTCTTTTGTAAAGTGCTTTGAGACAAACTTTGTGATTGACTGACACATGCATCAATTTGCACAGTGGGAAACAAAGCTCCACCGGGCCACTTTGCATATTTGCAGCTCCAAATACAGAGAAAACTGGCTGAAAATGTTGAACGCAAGACTGCCAAACCTGTGTGACACACTGACCTGGGGATAAAATAGTGTATATATCCATTTTCAAAAGGACAGATGGCAGCACGTTTATTGGTGGGTCACCTTACTTTTTGAAGCTGAGTATATATTATGTTGCATTATGGAGAAGAAATGCAGTAAACAAAAGCTTAAGATAGTGAAGAATGGTGGAACAAAACAGTTCTGGGATATAAATGACCTTACTGAGAGTTAGAGATGATACCTTCCATTCTCTTCTGCTTACCCAATTCAGTGTCACTGGAGTGCTGGAGCCTATCCCGACTGTCACAGGGTGAGAAGACAGGGTACAACCTGGACAGAATGCTAGAATTTCACAGGAGAAAATACTAGAATTATTTATGTATTTAATATACACCAAGCAAATGTTTAGAATGTTTTAAACTTTTTAAACAGATACAGTGCATCCAGAAAGTATTCACAGCACTTCACTTGTTCCACATTTTGTCATGTTCCAGCCTCATTCCAAAATGAATTAATTCATTTTCTAGACACAGTATCCCAAAATGAAATAAGTTTGCTTGGAATTCTTTCAAATTTATCAAAAACAAAAAACAAAAATATAACATCTAAGTATTCACATCCTTTGCTCAGCACCTTGTTGAAGCACCTCTGATAGTAACTACAGACTCTTTTTCATTAGGATGCTACAAGCTTGGCACACCTATTTTTGGGAATTCTCTCCCATTCTTTTTTTGCAGAACCTGTCAAGCTCATCAGGTAGGATAGGAAGTGTCGGTGCCATTTCTCAAGAGAGGTTCAAGTCTCAGCTCTGGCTTGACTGGTCAAGGACATTCACAGAATGATTTTAAAGCCACTCCTTTATCTTGGCTGTCCAGAGTGCTCAGGAGTAGGTTTTCATCAAGGATGTCTTTGTACATCGCTGCATCCATCTTTCCCCAACCGTAACCAGCCTCCCAGCTGCCTCCCAGCTGCTGAAAAACATCCCCACAGCATTAAACTGCCACCACCACTCTAGGGATAGTATCGGCTAGGTGATGAGTGGTGCTGGTTTCCTCCTGACATGAGGCTTGGTATTCCTTTTTTTTTTTATCAGATCGGAGAATTCTGTTTCCCATGGTCTAAGAGTCCTTCAGGGGGCTTTGTCAAACTCCAGGCATACTGTCATGTACCTTTTTCAAAGGCGTGGCTTTCTTCTGGCCACTCTACCATACGGGCCTGATTGGTGGAGTGCTGCAGAAATGATTGTCCTTTTGAGAGATCCTCCTTTCTCCACAGAGTAAAACTAGAACTCTGGATCGCTCACTTCTTCCCTTTATGGATGTTGGAGCCGACTGTGCTCATTGGGACCTTAAATACAGGAGAATTTTTCTATACCCTTGCCCTGATCTGTGCCTCGATACAATCCTGTCTAGAGGTCTACAGGCAGTTTCTTGGATTTTTGGTTTGTGCTTTGACATGAACTGTACATGACTGAATCTTGTATAGACAGGTGTGTCCCTTTCCAAGCCATGTCCAATCAACTTAACACAAGTGGACTCAAGTTGTAGAAACATCAGAGAGATGATCAGTGGAAACAGGACGCACCTATGCTCAGTTTGGAGTGTACCTGTTATATTGTTGTATTTGCTTTTTTAATACATTTTCAAGAATTTCTCTTTGTCATTATGGTGGATTTTGTGTAGAATATTGAGGTGAAAAATGAATGAAATCCATACAAGAATAAGGCTGTAACATGACAAAATGTTGAAGAAAAGAAGTGCTGTGAATACTGTATCTGTATGTAAATGTACAAAATATGTAGACCAAGGAAAAGCTTTCAGGCACTGGAACCTTTCTAGTTTCTGTTTGTACTACACCTGTCGTCCCAGTTTTATTGACTGGGCTTGTATGAGCAGTCTTTGGTTACATGCAGGTAAACAGTCCAGGTGGAGAGTAAAAGAGCGATTTCATTTCAAACACATCTGCTGTCATGTGATGGTAGACACTAACTTTAAAAACTGTACAAACGATTAGTTTTGAACTGGATAGCCATTATCTGCTATCCACAGATCCTGGCTAAGTGAACAGACCAGCAGATGTGTCCCACAATAGTCTGCAGCTTAGCATTAAAACATAAGTCAGACAGAAACAATTGGACAATGGTCGCACAGCCTGACTGGCGACCTGTCCAGGTTGTACCCTGCCTCTCACCCTAAGACAGCTAGAATTGGTCTAGTTTGCTTCAAATGTAACTAAATTTGTTGTTAAGTTCTTAGGAAGTTTGCCGGTTAACATGTTTAATCTTAATTGTGGTCAGTTTGGGGTTTTACGGAGAGATTATGTGTTGAACTATGTCTTGATGGGGAAACAGCAATTTCCTGAGACCTGGAAGCCAGTAACTTCAGAAACTCACTGCACCTGGTTACTCAAGTCACACAGTGAGTGTGACTTTACATGAAATCACACACATGAGACTTGTGAGACAGATTTTTCTACATATACATAAATTACAGCTAGCTCATTGTTGTTTCTTCAGTAATTGTATTAAATAAAACTGATATATGAACAATATCAGTTCACAAACTGTTAGAATTAGTTGAATAATCTGCAGCTGTGTTTAATTTCCAAAATAAATGTCTTGCAGAGTCATGGCCTAATGGTGCAGGCTTCAAGCGAGTGGCCACAGTACTCAGCGAATCTTCCTCAATCCATAGTGATGCGCTGTGCTACCTGAACAAGGACATGTCCGGGATTGGACTGGAACCCATGTCCTACAGCACCCTGGAGCCTGGACCTTATAGAGAAGAACCATGGGCTGAGGAATCACAAAGTCTGCTACAGGTAACTACAGGACCAGAGAAAATGTGCATGTGTGGGGAACTATAATAACATGCTTAAAAAGCTATAAGATTTTTTGGGGAACCAGTCTAATGTTTTTTTCCCCCTTTCATTCTTTCGTTACCAACTTCCTCAACTAAGCCAATCACGTAATATTTCCTGTGAGCTCATGTGTTTCATTGCATTGCATCATTGTATGATTTATCATGTCTCATTAAAATGACCCTAGATAAGACTGTGATAATGATGAAGGAGGCCAGTCTCTGAGGTTTAATGATGTTTGTTCCTGTACTCTTTCAAAATAAAAGTCGCATCTGAGATATTTGAACAGCCTAGAATCACCTCGGACTGACTTTGAGAAGAAGTTTAAAATGATTGTAAGAGTAAGGAAAAGACTTGAGCTTAATCTGTGTGTGTGTGTGTGTGTGTGTGTGTGTGTGTGTGTGTGTGTGTGTGGGTGCTGTGTTTGTGTGTTTGCTGTGTTTGTGTGTTTGTGGATGCTGTGAAATATTTCAAGTATTGATATGTACAAATATTCAAATGTGAAGTGAGTTCTGTTTTTTTTTTTATTTTTTATTATTATTCATACGTACAAAGACGTAGTATAATTTGTCACAAAATACAAGAGTGGACGCCCCACGTTCCTGATAAGTGGAAGTTATGCAAATCTTAATTTCAAGTAAAACACAAATACAATTAAACATTAATGCATAAAACTGTTTAAGTACTCAGTGTTATATACACATGACCGATTTCCCCCATATATTGATTA